CATAGTTATACTCATGGTGTTTAGAAATAAGAAACTCCTTGGTAACGTGTTTCTTTTATGTTTTCATTCCTTACATTTCAACATTACCTCATCCAGTTCACTTCATATTTGATGTATGCAGTGTTTCAGCCAGTATGCACCTATAAATTTGTGCAAATCAGACACCAGGTCTTGCAAAAAGAATTTAAGACATCAAAAGCAGCAAAAGGAACAAGGTGCATTTTGTTGACCTTTAATCTGATACACCAATCATTACATATCTAAATTGCTTATTGATGGATTTTAAATAGTTTAGACAGTTTTAATTTATCTTGAATTACAGCATGTGAAACATAGTTTGCCCAAAAAAGAAGAATTATGGGCAGCAAAATCTATTATCTGGCACACTGCAGAATTTTTAAAAAATATTTCTGCACAATTAATTTATCTGTCATTCATCAGGAATTTCATTAAGAGTATGAATGACAGAAATCCAGATTGATGTTCAGTTTCATGAAAATCCTGGTTCCAGTCCAAGGAGTCTGTTCTATGATTCATCAAGCCCAGTATGCCACTTGACTGTGCGTAATGTGCAAAGAAGAATATAGGATGTTTGATAGTGGAATACTACTCATCCATCGAGATTTGTTTTTGAATTTTAATATATTTAGCGAAGAAGAATAAAATCTCATATGGGATAGAGAATATAACAATATGAAATTAAATTGTAGTGGGGGTAGAAAAATCCTACCTTACTGTCATAATTTCTGGGAATGAATTTTGCAAGCATTGATAATATGTACAAATTCAAATCCATCAGCAGCATTACATAGAGCTAGTAGACAAAAACATTTGATTGATTCTAAATGTTTAGTTATTTCACCTCATTATTTAATAAGCAATCCCAAATAGACAGTTCTTTATTGAAAATGTAAACAAATTCAGTTATCTAATATATTTATAATAGATGTAGAGACAAATTTTGAGATTTGATTTTTTAAATTTTTCTTTAATGCATAAGAAATTTAAAATGATTATGCTATTGATTTATTATATAAATGAGTTAAATATTGAAATTCATTAGAATAAAAAGCATATGACAAATGTATGGCAAATTGTATGAGATTTATGTTTTCAGTTTTTTTTATTGCAGAGTAGGTTTTCATTATTTCTTCCTTAATTCAGAATATGTATGTATGTATGTATGTATGTATGTATGTATGTATGTATGTATGTATGTATGTATGTATGTATGTTTGTATGTATGCATGCATGCATGCATGTATGTATGTATGTAGGGTGTATGTATGTATGTATGTATGTATGTATGTATGTATGTATGTATGTATGTATGTATGGGTGTATGTATGCATGTGTGTATGTCACAGTTTATCAAATAGTGGTTGACTATCCCAGTTACAATCTTACATGTTTCTGTTATGATTATTAGCAATTCTTACCAAACTATATTATGATCATTTGGAATGCTTCAGGTTTTATATCAGTCAGAGTTATACTACGGGCAACAAGTTGCTTTGGATTTGTACACCACCATCTCAAAAAATGCATTTTGATGAAAGGTACGTTTTTTGCTTCAGATTTTTCTGTAAGCAGTATTTTGTGATAAAAGACTAAAATATCATCTATTTAGCCTGTTTTAGCTACTGGTCATTGGTCAGAAGAGATTATGGAATGGCCATCCTTTAGAATAGCTTTGTTATCACTACTGTTCAAAAACTACTTGTATGAATACCATGGAACTTTACACACACACTCATTCCAAAGTCTAATAGGTCCTGAGTGCTGCCATATGGCTGCCACAGATGCCATGTTGAAATTCTTGTTATCGCTACTCATGAATGGATGCTTATAGAACCTTGAAGACACAGGAAGACTTCTTAAGATCTTATGTTGGTCCAAAGTGAAAATAGTTCCAATCATGCATCAAATATAGCCATTTTAAATATCTTGTTATTGGTATTCCTCCAAAATTTAAATTCATATTGACATGGGATTGTAATCAAAAGACTTTTTATCCCAAATGCAAATAGCACTGATCTGATCTCCAGTATGGCCACCATGTTGAAATATTGTTTGTAACTAATCCTTTAAGTAGAAAATCAAAATGGTACAGTATTAGCTTAGTAGAAAGTCATTTTGGTAATTTGAATTTTAAATACAAGACTTGGTATGTTCTTTCATGGGTTAAAAATTAATTTGATTCCAATATGACATTCATGACTGCACTAATTTATTAGTGTCCACCTTGAATGCAGGGTGTTGCAGGTTCAAGGCCTGGATGAGTCATACCAAAGTCGTAAAAATGGTACTAGCAGCTGTCTCTTGATGCTCAGCATTAAGAGGTTAGTGTTTGGACTGGTCGGCATGGTGTCAGGATAATGTGACTAGGTGGGACATGATGCTACATGTATACAGCTTGATGCCCAATGCTGGACATCACTATAACCAGCCACACTAAAGACATCATAGTGATATGATTGAAAAAAATGTTAAAGTTTCATTTAAAATCCAAATCATGCAACACTGACACTCAGAATGTCTTCCATGGTGGCCATCTTGAAAAATTTGCTGCAAGTTTTCCTGCATAGATGGTCATATCAGAATAGGGATTTTTCCAAAAGACCTGTTTATATGATGCCTACTTGAAAATAGTGCCCAAATTTCATCTGGTATTGCCATCACAACAACAGTCTTCAAAATACTGTTATCATTCAACAATATTACATATGGTTTCAACTTTTGTAATGAAGAAATTTTCTAACTCATGGAAGTTATTTCCATTTAGTAGAGCATTAGTCCATTCAGTAGGCAACTGATCTGATGTTTTCAAACACTTCAACAAATATTTCATCTTATCTTAGATTTGAAGTAATGCAGGAAAATATTAAATGTTCAAAAATGTCTATGAGATAGGATAGTGAAATTTCTTAGCTGCAATCAAATTTCTTTCAGTGCTTGGTTATTTGGTTATCATTTCCCATGGTTACAAGTGGTGTTTACTGAGATTTATCAAAGCCTTTACTGATTGTTATATTTTTAAATAAACTATAAATATATTCATATTTGTTGATGCCATTTTGTTTTCTTTTTATCTGTAATTATATTATTTAATAAAAATTTCAGAACTTTTCATGCATCATACCCATAATACTGGTAAATTTGTAACAAACTCATGTACTGCATTTCCCAACGTGGTTATCGGTCTGCCTCCCCCCCAAACACGTGACCTAGTGATGATGTTGGCAGCATTGGAATGGTTATCAGTGTACTGATATGATAATCTATGTCATAGAGGCTCTTGCATGATTGTATACAATAGCGGGGAGTTAATTCAATTTTGTTTTGTAAATTTTACTGGAAGCATGCACAAATGTAAGGTTCTATTTGCTTCATAACAAAAACTGCAAGTTTAAAAAAATTAACTGCAGAATATTATACATAAATGCATTTGACCTACTTTTGGATTCCTCAGACATACATATATGCATTTGAATTACTTTTGGATTCCTCTGACATTACACTAAAATGCATTTGAATTACTTTTGGCTTCCTCCGACATTATCCTTGGAGGCATTTGAATTACTTTTAGATTCCTTTGACATTCTACTTGGAGGCATTTGAATGACGTTTGGATTCCTTTGACATTATCCTTAAATGCATTTGAATTACATTTGGATTGCACTGACATTATCCTTAGATGCATTTGAATTACTTTTGGATTCCTCTAACATTATACTTTATATGTTATAATGGCCTTATTCATGATGTGTTGTTATTTGTATGCGATATTGGAAAATATATTAGTTTATGAATTTAATTAACACAAAGAAGGACGAGTAAACTCATGGCTTCACCCTGCTTCCATCTTGCATCATCCTTCTCAATAATTGCAGCCGTCATGCATCATCCTCTCAATAATTGCATGCATCGTTCTTCTGTCAATAAATGTATCAATCTTGCATCATCTTTGTCTTTAATTGCATCCATCATTCTTCTGTCAATAAATGCATCAATCTTGCATCATCTTTATCATTAATTGCAATCACCATCCTTTTCTCAATAATTACATGCATCATTCTTCTGTCAATATATTCCATCTATCCATTTAACATACATCATATTTCTGTCAATAGTTGTAGCTATCATGCAACATCCATTTGTAAAAAATTGCATTCATTATGCATCATTTTTCTGTCGATATTTGCATGTATCATGCACCACCCTTCTGTTAATAATTGCGTCCATCGTACGTCGTCCTGCTGTCAATAAATGCACAAATAGAGCATCATCCTTCTGTTAATAATTTCGGAGATCATCATTCTCATTAGTTGTATCCATCATGCATCACCCTTCTGTCGATAATTGGACCGATCCGGTGGTCTAAATGGTTATTGCGTCCGTCTCGAATGCGGGAGGTCGAACCCCGACCGAGTCACGCGAAAGACTTATAAAAGACATATCAACTGCTTTGATAGGCGCTCAGCATTAAAAGATTAGTGTTAGGACTGGTCAGCCTGTTGTCCGGATAATAGTGGGACATAGTGCTACATGTCTGCGGCATGGTGCCACAGTGCTAGACATTATAACCTGCCATATTGCAGACATCGCAACGATATGGCTGGAAAATTGTTATACTTGTGATAGAAATTCAAATCACACGTAAACACATACAGTCCGTCAATAATTGCATGAATAATTACATCATCATTCTTTCAATAATTGCATTAATAATTACATCATTCTTTCAATAATTGCATGAATAATTACATCATCATTCTTTCAATAATTGCATTAATAATTACATCATCATTCTTTCAATAATTGCATGAAAAATTACATCATCATTCTTTCAATAATTGCATGAATAATTACATCATCATTCTTTCAATAATTGCATGAATAATTACATCAATATTCTTTCAATAATTGCATTAATCATGCATAATCCTAAAGTCAATAAATTCCACCCCTTATTCATTTATCATCCATTTGTCGACCGCTCTGGTGGCCTAATTGGTTAGAGCGTCCGCCTCGCATGCGGGGGGTCGCCGGTTTTAACCCCGGCCGAGTCATACCAAAGACTTATAATAATGGTACTAACAGATGCTTCGTTGGGAGCTCAGCATTAAGCGGTTAGTGTTCAGAATCGTCGGTCTGATGTCAGGATAATGAGACTGGGTGGGACATAATGCTACATTGTCTGTGACAGGATGCCCCAGCGATAGACATCACTATAAACTGCCACACTCCAGACATCGTAGCGATATGACTGAAAAATTGTGAAAGTTGTGTTACAAATCCAAATCACACACTGATCCTTTTGTCAGATATTGTATCCCATATGCACTGCATCTGTAATGTATCGTACTGTCAAAGACAGTTTGCTTTTACAATTCGTCTTCTGGTGAATATTTATGAGGATTATTTCATATTTCATCTTGATTTTCTGCCTCATTTAATTTTTGAGATAAGAAAAGACTTAGTATTTTGTGACACACACACACACACACACACACACACACACACACACACACACACACACATATATATATATATATATATATATATATATATATATATATATATATATATATATATATATATATATATGTGTGTGTGTGTGTGTTTGTGTCTCTGTGTGTGTATTTTTGCGCATTTATTCCAGAATTCGGATGTTACTCGTTTGCGTTACCTTGATGGTTTCCATCACCGCCTCTTTAACACAGTTTACTCTTGTGATTTAAGCTTATTCTTTGGCTATTCTCAAGCTGCACCAGTATTAACAACGCGTCAATTCCAATTCAGTCTTAATTGTTTGCTCAGAATGCGAGAAACGTAATCCTTGCTTACAAAACAGTGATGGAGAGGAAAATTCAACCATCGGAATAAGCTTTCTTGTTTAAATCGAAAGAAAGGAAGGATTTACACATACATCGAGCCTTAAAATATGGGATTAATATCGATGATTTACACATACATCGAGTCTTAAAATATGGGATTAATATCGATGATTTACACATACATCGAGCCTTAAAATATGGGAATAATATCGATGATGATCATTGAAAATTGTGAGATAAACTTGATGCTTTGAACGTTTTAATGCAGATAGGACCCTACTTCATTTTTATAAGCAACTGAATAACATACGATATATTTTGTCAGTAAAAAGCAGGATTTTCATTTTCGTTTTACCATTAGATATAAAGGACGGTTTCATTTGGGTTTTTTAATACTCAATTACGTTAGAGTATTTTTGTATTATTTGTATGTTTTTCTTGATTACTTAAACTTATCAAAGTGTTGGAAGTTTACGAACTGCTTAAGTGGGGTTACCGTGCGCCTGTCGTAAGACGAAGGATATCACGCATTGATATTGTCCATCAGTTTTGGTTTCCGCATAGTAAAGTATAAATTTTAGATTGAGATCATCGACTTTTAACATTGTTAGCGGCTCGATCTAAGGGCTAGAAAGAAGTCTGTCGATTTTTGGACCAATATTCAGCTTCACTGACTAGAAGAGGCAAATCAGTTTCCACATAAAATAGTTCAAGAAAAACGTACACGCAGGAAACGTTCTGGATGTCTTGCGCATGAGAAATGCAAAATGCTGAAAGATGTTGGAGTCAGAGGTAAAGTTCACTATCACAGTGTGTCATAGAAGAACAATATTTTTACAATATAATTTGATTTTAGATCACGTGCCTCCACTAACGTTTGCTGGGAACTTGCACTTAAGCTAAAAAATAATTGTGACAATTTTGAGTCTTGAGGATCAGGTCTAAGTCACTGTAACTCAAAAGAGAAAGAGAAAATACATTTCTGTTCAAGGGGTTGACTTTCAGATTAATTACATCAACTAAAATGTGCATATTAACTAAACTGTGCAGGTAAGAAAAGCATCAAATTTTGGAGTCCAAGTTTACAAGGTTCAGGTCACTGTAGTTTTGAGGAAAAATGGTTTCCGAATAATAACGGCATGTCTTGGCTACACACATTGACTACGCATAGTGGATTACTTAAGTTTTGTATCGTATGATCGAAGATAAATGTTTTCCTTTAGTCAGATAAGAAAACACTGGTCACCACATAAATATATGTTTATTATGTTTAATATAAGAACACATACATTGACGAACCCATGTGGATAGCCTGTGCACAGGGATAAAAATACATTCTGCCGTTCATTGGTTTCAAGACCAAGGCTACTGCAACATATGCATTTAGAAAAAGGTCGTTGCTGTTGTTATAGGGTTTAACGCCATTTTTTTAGCACAAGACAGGCTATACATGGCGGCCAGTATTAATGGTGGATGAAGAACCCTGGAAAACCTCTGGAAGAACTACCGACCCATGAGAAGCTACTGGCAGGCTTTCTCACTTATCCACGTTAGCCAGTCTGGACTCGAACTCACGCAATCAGATGTGAGATGGCAGTGATCCGTAACGCTCAGCTCTTTAGACAACTCGGCCACTAGGAGCCCCTTGGAAAAAAGTTTTTGTCACGTGACTTTCATGATAACACTTTGCAAACTAACCTTCCAATATTTTGGACGGATATAGGGTACTGATGTTTGGTTACGCAGCCTGGAGCACAAAGGAACAATGAGAAGACTGAAGTCAATACAGCTGTTTGATTCCACCAAAATTAAATAGAATGGTATGCCTTTTGGGTAAGGAAGGGGTGGGGGTGGCTATTGATTTACCATTAAAACCTCAAGGTCATGAGCGGGTGTTTTATTTAGAACTCAGCCATCCCATGCAAATGCATACACCTCTGGTTGTTAAACACGCGACAGGCGTATAATATATCAGTTACAATACACTAAGATTTTGCTCGCAGTTTTTCTTCTTGTATTTTTAATGCCTTGTATAGATAGGTGTTTAGTAAAAAAAAATATGTACTAAGTAATTGATCATATAAAAAGAACAAACAAGACGGTTCACTGTGTAGAAACGTTGATTGGACTACAATAGAAAGAGTTTGAACATTAGGGATCAAATTTAATAAGGAAATTGCTTACTTGAGCATTCTTGAATGAGTTTGAACCATCAAAATTAAATCTGATCCACTAATGTTTTCTGTAGCATTGGAGAAAGAAATGTAACCCTAGGATCAAATTTGTACACAGTAAAGGGCATATGGTTCCTATATTAAGTGCACCAAGCTAACATTAAAAAAATTATTTTCATTATTTTATGCTACAATGCAATCTAAGTTCAAATGGCAAGTAAAAATATATGCAGAACTCGGCGATAGACCTCAAATTCATAGCTTTAACTACGTACAAATGCTTCTTCAAACTTCTAGATCATGACTTCTTAACGGATATTGTATTGTAACCCTTGAACAGGATGTGGTAGATATGTATCCTTGTGTAATTTATCAATCTAAAAACGGCGTATCTTAAAATACTCTTTTTAGATATATTCAGCAGTAATTGTTATAAATAAATATCAGATGCATATACTTTGTATATGATATTAATATTATATATAGCTGAACGAGAAGTCTTTTGAACTTCATTTAATATAGAGCGTCTTCTTTGTGGAAACATTAAAGACTAATGCATTTCATCACTCTACAAGACCATATACAAGATTACAATGCTCATGTTGTGATATGCAATGTGCAGGATCCCATTTTCGCATCCACAATAATCACACTTAGTTGAAAATCATATTACGCTTCTGAAATATTCTTAGAGTGATTCCAGAACTTAACCAAGTTGGTGTACCCCTTCCCACTTACCTGTAAATGTGTCTTTCGTTGATCTTAACATGGCTTTACACAGCATTTGTGTTTAACAGCATTTGTGCTAAAACACGCAAAGCATACTCGCATTCCAGCAATATCAAATGATAATAAATATCAAACGACTGAACAGATTAATAGTTTTTTAAATTATTAGAAACTAAAATATTTTTGCCGGAATTCTGCAGTCAGTTGCGTGTTTGAGTGCTTTAATGAGAGTGAGTCAACTGATGCATTAAAATGGATGAAACATTAAAATTTTCATTAAAATATAAAATTAATCTACATTGATTAGCTTGTCTCCATTAATTTTCAAAATTAAACGGTTTAACATAAATTATACATAATGTTTACATTGGATATATACTTGCTACTTGATACCAGGTAGTGGTATAGTTAGGTTATTTTGAAGAAGCAATGCACTGGAGGAAACAAAAATAATGGATATTATCGTCAAACTAATCGAGATCCATCAAAGTGGATTGCCAACGGAGCGATGATAATGTGTAATCTACAACAGGATCTTTGATTCCGTGGACAGCATGCCACAAGCTCGACCGAAAGGGTGTGCGTTCGAATCTTACCATGGCTCTGTATAATGATGAAATACAAATAGCATTTGATCCTCTATGAGTGACATTAAAACATGAAATGGATACAGTTAATAATGTTCATCTTCATGGTGTCAAAATATTTATCTTCATGGTGTCAAAATATTCATCTTCATGGTGTCAAAATATTCATCTTCATGGTGTCAAAATATTCATCTTCATGGTGTCAACATATTCATCATCATGGTGTCAACATATTCATCTTCATGGTGTCAACATATTCATCATCATGGTGTCAACATATTCATCTTCATGGTGTCAAAATATTCATCTTCATGGTGTCAAAATGTTCATCTTCATGATGTCAACATATTCATCTTCATGGTGTCAAAATATTCATCTTCATGGTTTCAAAATGTTCATCTTCATGGTGTCAAAATATTTATCTTCATGGTGTCAAAATATTCATCTTCATGGTTTCAAAATATTCATCTTCATGGTGTCAACATATTCATCTTCATGGTGTCAAAATATTCATCTTCATGGTGTCAAAATGTTCATCTTCATGGTGTCAAAATGTTCATCTTCATGATGTCAACATATTCATCTTCATTATGGCAAAGCATCCATCTTCACGGTGACAAATAATTCTACATATGCAATTGAACACTGTTGCTGAGTGGTTTGTCTAGTTAGGGAAAATGGAAATCCATCTACCATACGTCTGTCATTGCCTTATTTTATCAGCTATCAAAAAGCACTATTGA